ATTGATGTTTCTCTTCATTTTGAATTGTGCCTCATCAGCAAATGAAGGTCCTGAAAACTTTACTCCATCCCTGTCATCACAGTCACCTCTACTTTGAGGAGGCAGCTGCTCCCAGTTGTATTTTGAATTTCTCCCAACCTGAGGGACTCATCTTCTGGCACTGTATCTGACAATATTCTTGTGGTATTCAAAATGTTTTCATCTTCCAGCACTATATCTGACAGTGTTCCACTGCTGTTCATAAGATTTTCAGTGGCAAATACTTAGAAATAATCCATTTCTCCTTCTTCCTAGTTTGCCTTAATCTGGAATCTCAGCTGAAACCTGTGCACCATGGATGACTCTACTAATATTTAAAAAACAGGTGGCATAGATTTCAGCACCACAGCAACATGTCAACCACCACAGTACAACAAACTGACATATGAGTATTGTTGTTGTTGAGTGCCACGGAGTCAGGTCTGACTTGTAACCACTCTATATAGGGTTTCCAAGGATTGGCTTGTGGGTCTGAACGTCCAATCTTGTGGTAAGTAATTCAGTGCCAGAATTTACAGACCATCTCAAAAACAGATTTAAAACATTAGATATCAATGACCAAAGATCAGAAGAGTTGTGGGATGACATTAAGAACATCATAGAAGACGAAAGCAAAAGCTCATTAAAAAGACAAGAAACACCAAAATGGATGTCAGGAGAGACTCTGAAAATTGCTCTCCAGCATAGAGATGCTAAAGCAAATGGAAGAACTGAGGAAGTAAAGGAATTGAGTAGAAAATTTCAAAAGGGAGCTTGAGAAGACAAAGCCAAGTATCAAAACGAAATGTGCAAAGACTTGGGAGTTAGAAAACCAAAAGGGAAGAACACACTCAGCATTTCTCAAACTGAGAGAACTACACAACATGTTCAAACCTTGCATTGCAATACTGAAGGATTCTTTGGGTAAAATATTGAATGATTCAGGAAGCATTTAAAAAATGGAAGGAATACACAGACTCACTGTACCAAAAAAATAGGTCGATGTTCAGCCATTTAAAAGGTAGCATCTGATCAAGAGCCAGTGGTATTGAAGGACGAATCCCAGCTGCACTGAAAACACTGGTGAAAAACAAGGCTCCAGGAATTGATGGAATACAAATGTTTCAACAAACTCATGTAGCTCTGGATGCACTCACACATTTATGCCAAGAAATTTGGAAGACATCTATCTGAACCACAACGGGAAGAGATCCATATTTATGCCCATTCCAAAGAAAGGTGACAACAGAATGACAGTAAGAAAATTATCAAACAATATCATTGGTATGGTGGAGGGTCAGAGAAGAAGAAGACCCCCAATGATATGGATTGGCAGAGTGGCAGCATCAATGGGCTCAAGCTTTGCAACAATTGTGAAGTTGGCTCAGGACCGAGCAGTGTTTCTGTGTTGTGTTGTACATAGGGTCGTATGAGTCGATACCGACTCGATGGCACCTAACAAAGACAGCATCATTAATAACACATGCAGGTAAGTTTTGCTAAAGATAATTCATAAATGGTTGTAGCAGTACATTGACATGGAACTACCAGAAATCTAAGCCAGAGTCAGAAGAGGATGTGGAATGAGCGATAGCATTATAGACGTCAGATGGGCCTTGACTAAAAGCAGAGAATACCAGGAAAATGTTTACTTCTGCTTTATTGACTATGCAAAGACTTCGGCTGTGTGGGTCATAGCAAACTATGGATAACATTGCAAAGGATGGGTATTCCAGAATACTTACTTGTCTTCATGAGGAATACGTACATAGACCAAGAAGGAATCATTGGAACAGAACAAGGGGACATTGAATGGTTTAAAATTAGGAAAAGTGTGATTTTAGGGTTGTATCCTTTCACCATCCTTATTCAATCTGCATGCTGAGAAAATAATCAGAAAAGCTGGATTATATGAAGAAGAACCTGGAATCAGGATGAAGACTCATTAATGTATGCAGATGACATTACCTTTCTTGATGGAAGTAATGAGAACTTAAAATATGTATGGTTGAAGATCAATGACTACAGCCTTCAGTATGGATTGCAACTCAATGTAAGGAAAACAAAAATCCTGAAACTGAACTAATAATAAATAACATCATGATAAATGGAGAAAAGATTGAAGTTGTCAGATTTCATTTTGCTCAGATTCACAATCAACGCTCATGGAAACAGCAGTCAAGAAATTAAACAACATATTGCATTAGGCAAATCTGCTGCACAAGACCTTTTTAAAATGCCAAGAGCAAAGATGTCACTTTGAGGTCTAAGGTGCACCTGATGCAAGTCATGGTATTTTCAATCGTGATCTGCATGTGAAAGTTGTACAATGAATAAGGAAAACCAGAGAAGAATCAATGCATTTGAACTATGGTGTTAGTGAAGAATATTAAAAGTACCATGAACTATTGTGTTTGTTGCCTCACAACAATTGTTCGATGTCATACAACTGGGCAGTGTTTGGTTCTGCATAGGGTTGCTATGAGTCGGAACTGACTCAACAGCACCTAACAGTAACAACCAATTGTCTGCCAGAAGAACAAACAAATCTGCCTAGAAAGTACAGCCAGAATACTCCTTAGAAACTAGGAGGGTGAGACTTTGTTTCTTGTTATTCGCACATATTGTCAGGTAGAACCAATTCCTGAAGGAGGACATCTTGCTTGGTAAAGTGGAAGGACAATGAAAAAAGACCCCCCAAAAAGATGAATGACACAGTCAATAATGAGTTCAAACATAACAATTTTGAGGCTGGCCCAAGACCACCAGTGTTTTGTTCTGCTGAGTCGGCACTGACTGGAAGGCACCTAACATTCTTATGTAATGATGTGTTCTTACACATTTTACACATTCAATTTGTTAACAATTTGCTGAGAACTGTTTTTGGTCTACAGTTTTCTTTTTTTGTAATCTTTACTTGCTTTTGGTATTGGTATAATCTTTTTAAAAAGGAGCCTGGTAGCAATGGTCAAGTGGCTGCTAACCAAAAAGCCAACAGTGGCTCAAAATCCACCAGCTGCTCCACATGAGTAAGATGTGGTGGTCTGCTTACATAAAAATTACAGCTTTGGAAACCCTATGTGGCAGTTCTACTTTGTCCTATGAGTCCGAATTCACTCAATAGCACCTAGTAATAACATTTTTGGAAGTCAATTCATCAATTGTAACAAAAGTCTAAAATTTGTGTGCTCAAGAACACCACTTCTAAGAATTCAACTTAAGGAAACATTCATAACTACAAACAGACCTAGATTTGAATATTAATTCATCACTTTATTAATCGCTTAAATTCTGTTGGTCTGTTTCCTAATCTTTAAAAAGAGGATCTACTTCACAGTTGTTGCATGAAGAGTTGATTTAGTGTCCACACCTAATTATGTTTTGAATAAATGGCAGTTCTTGGAACTATTAGGAGTCCTGGTGTGACGCTGTGGGTTAACTCGTACTGCAAAGTCGGTTTGAACCACAAGGTCTGCGTTTCAAGCTCACCTTTCGCTCCTCGAAAACCCTATACAGCGTCGCTGTGAGTCGGAACTGCCTCGATGGTACTAAACAACAACACAAGGTGAAGTGGACTCGTAGAGAGTGCGTCACGAGCTGGGGACGGCGGCAACTCTTCTGTGTAGTGCTGCGTCTTATTGTTCCCATAGCAACGGGGCTAGCTATTTTCTTGAGGCGTCACATGTCACATTTGTTTAGCGTCGGAAGAGGCAGGAAAGGTCACTTTCCAGTCCCGCAGCCTTGAGCGCACAGAACCTCTACAGTCATCGAACAACCCACGTCCTTCATTGGCTCAGCCGGATGAGGAGGCGGGAGTAGGCAACTGAGGGCGTGGTCTGCGGTCTTCCAAACGAGTTTTTCACAGAGAGCGGAAACCAACCTTGCCCGCCCCGGAAGTACAACCGCTGCCGTCTTACCGGTGTGCATTTTGTGAGTGAGGGCGACGCTTTCGAGATGCCTGGCGCCCCGGCCAAGGGCTCGGAATTGTCTGAGAGGATCGAGAACTTCGTGGAAGCCCTGAAGCGGGGCGGCGGGCGGCGCCGTTCCGAGGCTATGGCTCGGGACACCCTAGGACTGCTCCGGCGGATCATCACGGACCACCACTGGAGCAACGCGGGTGAGCAGACCCGCGTCCCCGACCCCTTTGGGTTCAGATAAGGCTGATAGGTCGCCTTGATTCACCGCCCGCTTGCCCGCTGTGTCTCTCTCTTGGCCCGTAGGGGAGCTGATGGAGCTGATCTGCAAGGAGGGCCGGAGGATGACGGCTGCGCAGCCCTCAGAGACGACAGTGGGCAACATGGTGCGGAGGGTGCTCAAGATCATCCGGGAGGAGTACGGCAGGTCTGGCCATTTCCCCGCCTCCGTGTGGGACTCGGTGCGCGTTTTCCCTGAGCCCCCCTGACCGCACCTCCTCTCCACCTTTGCCCCCTCTAGACTCCACGGACGGAATGACGAGAGCGACCAGCAGGAGTCCCTGCACAAACTCTTGACTTCCGGAGGTCTGAGAGAGGATTTCAGCATCCATTATGCCCACCTTCAGCCCAATATCATCGAGGCAATCAATGAGCTGCTGGTGGAGCTGGGTAAGAGTCCTCGGGAGCTCGCAGTGAACAGGACAGGTAGCTGGCAGGTGAGGGAACAGAAGACCCTGCAAACTGTCCATCAGCAGAGATGAGTGACACCCTATCATCTGGTCCTCAGAGGCTTGGCCTTCATCCTTTAACCCCCGCTGGCAGAGACTCGGACTGGGAAAGAGCTTGATTTTCGTTTTCGGAACATGAACTCCAAAACCACAGTTGATGGACTCGCCAGCTTTAAACTTCCTCCAGTATCCAAGGGCCAACTGGCATGAAAAACATCCCCGGGTGATTTAAAGTATATGGGGCACATGCAAAGCTTACCTACAAATAGTGCACCACTTTGTATTAAGGACTTAATCATTTCCGTGGGGGTCTTGGAACCACCCCCATCCACCTAACTGGTTTTTGTGACGTGTGAAACTTGCAGGTACTCATTACAGACTTCCCCAGGGGAGAAGGAAGCTCAAATTCCATCAGCTTCTAGCCACTGAAGTTAAGCTGCTGCTACCAAATTCCTTCCCACAGTGAACATCTTCACCTTCGGGAGGAAGGATTCTCTTAGGGGAAGCTCTGTTTATCCTACCCTAAGCACTTTAGGATTTTCCATACTTGAACCATAATTTGCTGAAATCAGTGTCATCAGAATCAGTTGCCCATGATGCCTGAACTGGAGTGGCCAGGTTTTTTGTCTTTTTTTTTTTTTTTTTAATTTTTATTGTGGATTGAGTCATAGTTTACATGGGAGAACCCCCAGCTTTACATTCATCCTATAGTATTTCATTTCATTGCAATGATTACTATTCCCTCCATGCATCATCAAACAACCAAAGGGTACACCCCACAAGCCTGAGCCCCGGCCGTCAGCACTCAGCCCCTCTCCCTCCCTGAGTCCAGTGTACCCAGCTGCTCCACCTCTCCACATCATCATCTTTACCTCCATCTCTGGTGTCACTGTTTCTCTGGGTAGGGTCCCGCACTCCGCTCTTCTCCCTTGATGGTCCCCCTGGGCTCCTGGACTGCAAAGTTAACCACTCCCCTCCTTTTGTTACAAAACAACTACCTTTATGTTTGCAACACTCACAGTCAGTCCTGATAGCAATTATTCACTATTGAACCACGAGAGTCTTATCCCTATCTTCTTTCATCAGCCTCTTCCAGACAGGTTGGAAACGTGGAGTGGCAGAGTTTTGATGTGAAGGTGGTGGATGAGCATAGGAGCTGCTGGGGGAAAGTTAGGCTGAGAACTTGGAGGCAGAAAACCCCAGACAAGTGGCGCTTCTACTTGCAGCTCGTTGACTGTAGTGGGCCCCAGAGGCTGCTAGGAGAGCTATGTGTGTGAAGCGCACACTGGGTCATGTTCATCGGAGCCCTAACGTGCAGTTTCATGTTTGCCCTGCATTGGCTGTGCTTGCAGAAGGGACTACGGAGAACATTGCCGCCCAGGCTCTGGAGCATATCCACTCCAACGAAGTGATCATGACCATCGGCTACTCCCGAACAGTAGAGGCCTTCCTCAGAGAGGCCGCCCGAAAGCGGAAATTCCACGTCATTGTGGCAGAGTGTGCGCCTTTCTGCCAGGTAGGAAACTGCTGAAGTTGCTGAGAAAAAGGAAAATTGAAGTGGGGTTAAAGGAGGGGTGGGTGAGATCCATGCCAGCTTGGAAATGGAGATACTGAGAAAAGAGTGGGACGGTAAAGGAATTTTCAATTTGTTCAGCTTGTCAACTTTCTTAAACATTGGCTTAAGAAAGTTGGTTAACTGCTGTTGTCGTTGTTAAGTGCTGTCAAGTCGGTTCTAACTCATAGCGACCCTGTATAGGGTTTCCAAGGAGCGGCTGGTGAGTTTAAACCACTCACTATGTGGTTCAAACCGACCTTGGAGTCAGTGCTTTATCCTACAGCACCCCACCAGGACTAAGTCCAAGAAAAAATAAATACTGGTCTTTTTAGGAATCAGAATAGACTAAATAAATTATATTGGAGATGCCTAATGCTTGATCTAACCTGACAAATCCTTAGGTAAATAATATAACCAAACCACTTGCCATCTAGGCATTTCTGACTCATAGTGACCCAGGAGGACAGTCGAGCTCCTCAGCGTTTCTTAGGCTGTAATCTTTATAGAAGCATTACTATCACATCTTTCCTCTGTGGAGTGGCTGGTGGGTTCAGACCACCATTATCAGCCAAGCGCTTAAACCACTGCACAACCAGGGCTTCTTAGATAATAATGTTGAGTTCTGCTGAGTTGGTTCTGACTCATAGCAACCCTCTACAGGGTTTCCAAGGAGTGAGTTGGTAGGTTTGAACTGCCGAACTGCCAACCTTGTGGTTAGCAGTCTAGTGCTAATCCTACAGCACCACACCCGGACTTCTTTAGGTAAATAATAGGTCTCCAAAAGAAAATGACATGTAAAGACGCAGGATGTTGTAAAATGACAAGCCAGAAGCTCTCTTGTCATTGATGCCAGATTATGCAAGCAGGTAGTATTTCCAGTTCTGTGGCTGCTCTGGGGTATTACACATTTATTAGCTACCTCTGGGCTTCCCATCACCTCACCAGAGAATACTTCTCATAGACCAAAAATGAGTTGTCTGTTGGAAGTTGTGTTTTGGATCTAGCCAGTATCACCGAAGTCCCCAGATCCAGTTCCATGTGAGAGCTCTTTCACTGTGTCTCCCTCTTGTCCCTGCGTCAGCCTTTCTTTCCTTTTGCAGGGTCATGAAATGGCCATCAATCTGTCCAAAGCAGGGATCGAGACTTCTGTCATGACCGATGCTGCCATTTTTGCTGTTATGTCCAGAGTCAACAAGGTAAGTATGTTTAGAGCCCATGAACTAATTTCCTTTACTTGTGTCATTGTTCTTCACTTGCAGTAGGCTCTAAATTTGGTTAGAGTACTGAAAGAAATGCAGTAGAACTAAAGCTAAGTATATCCATTGTCAGGGATTGGTGAGAGGGTACCTACCTATAGATGGCAAATGACAAAGGCTCCTGACAAAGACTCTGGCCTTTAGATTTCCAGAAAAGACGGCGTTAAGAGCTGTAGGTATTGCAGTTTTCTAGCCCATGCTGTGTTTATTCCTATCTCGGGCACCAACTTTTAAGCTTTAACCTTGGTACTGAGCTAAGTGTCCCTTTCACTCATCTGTGACCCCTTAGGATGCCAGGACTGAAACACTCAACCTGCTGTGCCCAAAGGTCCGTTTCAGGCACTGCCCCAGAATGACTCGCACTTTCCTTCTTGTTCCAAAGGTGATCATTGGCACAAAGACCATCCTGGCCAACGGTGCCCTGCGAGCTGTGGCAGGAACTCACACTCTAGCACTGGCAGCAAAACACCATTCCACCCCGCTCATTGTCTGTGCTCCTATGTTCAAGCTTTCCCCACAGGTATGCCTGTCTGTCTGTCTGTCTGTCTGTGTGGTGGTCAACAAGGGAAGGAAGCTTGAACTCTAGGCCTTCAGTCTGCTCGCTCTGCAGCTGCATTTACTCAGTGGATCAGACCCAACAGGGGCTGTAAGAAAGTCTGGGCACGGTGTAGTTGGGAAAGGACTTTTGTTTTCATCTCCACCACTCCCCGTCCCCCAACCATGTCTGAAAATACCAAGCAGATTGGAACCAGGCACACAGAAAAGGTCTTACTCACAGTTCAGGGCCTGTCCCTTTAGCCTGAAGACAAGCTTCCATCCATCCAGTCATGGAAGCTGTTTGCTTTGAGAACATGAACACATGAACCTATTTATAGGTGTCTCTCTCTCTCTCTCTTTTTTTTATCCCTTTCTTTTCCAGTTCCCCAATGAAGAAGATTCATTTCACAAGTTTGTGGCTCCTGAAGAAGTCTTGCCCTTCACAGAAGGTATGGAGGTTGTGTGTGTGTGGTATTTTCATGGTCAAAAGGACTGAATGCTGTCAGGTGGTGCTCTTTGTGGTGACTGTTCTCTTAAGCAGCTTGGAGGCCTGATATAGTCCATGTTCTGAGACTAGTACATTTTAGCTAGGGCCATGTTGGGGTCATGGGGGTTGGATCACCTAGCATTGTTTGATACAGGCAACAGTCCATGGAAAAATGTACTTTTTCAGCTGCTGCCAGCAATGAGTCTGGTAAAGTAGCTGCAAGAGGAAGCAGGCTCTAAAATGTCCCTGTTGAGTTCTGGTGCGGTGCTGCGGGATAAAGCACTGGACCGCAAGCTCGGTTTGAACTGCAAGGTCCAAGGTTCAAACTCACCAGACACTCCTTGGAAACCCTATACAGGATGGCTATGAGTCAGAACACCACTACCTGATGTGTTGGGGGCCCTGTCCCCTAATGTCTGAAGGTAGCAGCTTTCCACAGTGAGCCTGCTACCTCGTCAATAGTTACTTAGGCCTTAAACACCCTGTGGGAGCAAAGCATAAATATTTCCAGTTCTCTCTTGGAAGCTGACTGTTTTACTCAAACATACATTATTTCAAGGAATAGCTATTATGCACCTCTGTATCGGCAGTGTTCTAGGCACTGGGGATCTAACGGAAGATGAGGCCCTGCACCCACAGTGTTTGTATTTCTGTTGGTGAAAGACGGACAGAACAATGTCAGGTCATAGGATGTTTGAGGAAGGAAACAAATCCGGGTGATGTGATAGAAAGTGGTTAGGGGACTGACTGCCATCGAGTCAGGAGGGATCTTCCCAAGAGAACACTTCAGTTGAGTCAAATGATAAAAGCTCACTATGTTAAGGAGCTTTGGTAGCGTAGTGGTTACGAATTGGGCTGCGAACCTTAAGGTCAGCGGTTCGAAACTACCAGCCGCTCCGCGGGAGAAAGATGAGGCTTTCTACTCCCGTAAGGATTTACACCCTCGGAAACCCTGTACAGGGTCGCTATGGGTCGGAACCGACTCGACGGCACTTAACAACAACAACAATGTGAAGATCTAAGGAGCTCTGGTTGCGTACTGGTTACGAGGTCACTAAATGTCTGCGGTTCAAAACTCCCAGCCGCTCCACTGGAGAAAGATGAGGCTATCTGCTCCCGTAAGGACTTACAGCCTCAGAGACCCTGTACAGGGTCAATGTGAGTCAGAACCAACTCCACGGCACATCACCACCACCACCACCATGTGAAGATCTGGGCCCTGGTGTGGCATTGTAGGATAAGCGCTGGACTTGTAATCACATGATCAGCAGTTCAAACCACCAGCTACTGTTGGAAGCCACATACAGGGTCACTATGAGTCAGAATCGACTTAATGGCACTTAACATGTGAAGATAGGGATAAGTTTTCCAGACACTTGTGAACAGCATGAGACATGCACTTGCTAAGCCTGTTGTGAAAGTTGGCCACTTGCCAGCAAGGGGAAAGTGGTATAAATGATAACTCGTGTGGGAGGGAGGGGCCAGATCCTAAATTTGAATTTTATTCTAGGTTCTGTGGAAAAGCACTGGGGAGTTTAAAGCAGGGCGTGTCGTGGGAATCATCTCTTGGTTTGCATTTTGCCCTGCTTCCTCTCTGGTGGGTAGCTGGCAGGCGTGGATGGTGAGCCTGAGTCTATACCTGCTGAACGATGGGAGCAGGAGCCGCAGCTTTACCTTCAGCATGTATGTGTGCTTGCTTTCCAGGGGACATTCTAGAGAAGGTCAGCGTTCACTGCCCAGTGTTTGACTACGTCCCCCCAGAGCTCATTACGCTCTTCATCTCTAACATTGGTGGGAATGCGCCTTCCTATATCTATCGCCTAATGAGCGAGCTCTACCATCCTGACGATCATGTCCTCTGATTGCCACCTGATGTAAGTGGAAGGCGCTGAGGCAGAGAGGATGGAGAGACCTCAGTGCTGCTGCGCAGTAACCTTGTACAGCGGAGGAACTGGAGTCTGCATAGAAGAGCCCTGATCCTTCTCCTGCCTGGTCAGTCAGCCTCTGGCAGCATACACACCCAGGACTCGTTTCTGCCTTTGGGGCCTTAAAAGGCAGCAGCGCTTCACCTATTGGTTTTGAGGCCTTAGTGACATGGTTGCGTCTGCTTCAGGAACTTAAGACTTTCTGGTTCAGTGGTGTGTTAAACATAACACTGGAAACCTTGCTGGGATTGAGATTTTTGCTCAGAAATGGCTACCACGCCTTTTTCCTAGGCTCTGCCAATAAAAGCTCCTTGAAGGTTCCTGGGTTGGTTTATTTATTGTCCTGCTCCAATTGAACTGCTGGAAACAGCAGCAGCTACAGAGCCCTTTTCTGTTTCTTTAGAAGGCTGTAATTAGAGGTAATAAGTCTAAAATAGACAGATACAAATGACACTCTTGACCATTTCCTTTGTAATTCCCTTGAAATGGCCCTAAACAACTTGTTAGTACATGGTTCCAAAACCTTTCTGATGATCAGAATCATCTTTGGAGCTTTAAAAAATCCAGAATCTTGGGCACCATCCCAGATCTCCTTCATCAGATCCCTGGGATGGAGTCTGGAAATAAATCTATGTCTAAAGTTCCCCAGAAATGACCCTCATGGACTGTTAATAGGACTGTACATTGGAACCAACTTGGAATTGAAACCTTTCTAGAGTCATTTTATAAGTATATAAAGATGTCTACAAGAAGGGTCAGTGCAGACTCTAATACCACAATAGTAGGGTATTAATTTAAGTGTGACGTTTATACTGTGGAACATTATATATCCATTGCAATAGAGTAGGGTGCCTTGTGGGTAATGCCTGGATTGAAGCCATTTGGGCTTGTGGTTTAGCTGGTATTTGAGTTAGTTTACCAATATATTAAAATCTGGAGGTTGCACATTTAAAAAAATTGTTCAGATTTCTTGCTTCTTTCAAAAACTCAAGACTTGGCAACTTTGGGCCCACATTCCCTAAGGGCAGCAGTTGAGTAGCTTCTGATTGCATGAGATGGAATGTTTCCAGTTTTCTGTGTTCCTCCTGGACATTGACTCATTGCTAAGCCCTATAGGCAGTTGAGTGTGTGTCTCTGGTGTTGAAAGAATGGGATGGATTTGTAAAGAAAGCCATTTTATGGTTGAGTAAAACACAACCTGGAAAAATGGCAAGCTGTAGAGTGATGTGCATAGAACTATTTTCATTCAGATTATGTTAAAAAAAGTAACAGCACCAATTAGTGGCAAGCTAGGGGGCCATCTATTTTAATATGTTTATATATTTTTCCCATTTTTTATGTGTATTGTTTTAGTGGTTAGTTTCAACTAAAATGTTTCCCCCAGTGATCCAGATGTTCTGCCAGGTTGGGGAGCTACTAGTCCCAGAGGTCCAGGGCAGACTTCTTTGGTTCAGTGTCAAAGAATCCCTGGCATGCTTGCAAACACCAGCTCCTGCCCCTTTAGGCAGTGTCTTGGTAAAGGGAGTGAGCACCAGGAATCTGCATGTTTAATAAATACCCCCAAGGGATTCTAACAAACACTGGTCAGAGGTAGGTTCTGAGGAAAAACCTCCACTCTGATACTTATGGACAAATCTTTGCCTTATGAATCGTTTTCTCCCAAGAGGAGAAACAGGCTTGAAGATGGTCAGTGTGAAAGACTGGCCTGAAAGCTCTGACTCAGAATGAGTCTGACTCACTCATTCTTTTTTTTTTAAGTTTTTATTGTGGATTATGTGATAGTTTACGTGGGAGAACATTAGCTTTACATTCTATCATATTTCATTTCATTGCAATGATTACAGTTTCCTCCATGCATCAACAACCAACCAAAGGATACACCCTGCAAGCCTGCCCTCTGGCCACCAGCACACAGCCCCTCGCCCTCCCTGAGTCCAGAATCCCCAGGCACTCTATCTGTCCATGTTGTAGTCTCTGGTGTCACTGTTTCTCTGGATGGGGTCCGTACTCCGCCCTTTTCCCTTGGTGGTCCCAGGGTCCTCTGCTCCTGGACTGCAAAATCAACCACTCCCCTCCTTTTGTTACAAAACATCTACCTTTACATTTGCAACTCTCAGTCAGTCCTGATGGCAATTATTCACTATTGTACCACAAGAGTCTTACCCCCATCTCCTTTCATCAGCCCTGTCCACACAGGTTGGAAACCACTCTGGAGATTCTACCTTCTCCTGCGCCCTATGGAACTAGGCTCCCTCTTGAAAGCTTGCAAGCCAGTCACTTCTTGCCTTTTTTGTAGACACCTTCCCTCCCCATTTTGGGTAGCCAATGTCAAAGTTGCTCATCCCTGTCAACCCTGTGTACTTAGGGGGTGGGAATGATCTTCACTATAAAGATTTGGTCCCTCTTTTGAGCTGCTACATCCATAAGTATAGGTCAGGTTCATCAAATTTTATCAGATTATTATTTTTCTTCCTTTTCTTTCTTCTTCTAGTTGAGTTCTGATCATCCAGTCATTGAAGCCAGGTCACATGGGTACTACCTGCAAGTGTGGGTGTTCTTGTCAATTCTTTCTTAAAGCAGTGGAGACTCCATGGTTTCTCAGTGTATGTGACTTAGAGCTACCAGTAACTAGCAATTGTCTCCTCCAAAGGCACCAGTTCTAACAGCAGTTCCCTTGGGCACAGTTGTGTGGAAAGAACAGTGAGTCAAAGAATTGCACTCTTGTTTGTGGCTCCAAAACTGCTTTGTAATACTTGTCTTGTGCATCTTCCCCTAGGAAGGAATGTTATTAGCACCAACATTCATTCCCAAGCAACACAGATGGGTAAAGGTTCTGAGGCTAGAGGTTCTGTCTCTTGTGGGTCAAGTCTTACAGCGCCTACAACAAACAGGTGGTGGTGGCAGTTAGTTGCTGTCAAGTAGATTCTGACTCTAGGTGACACCATGTGTTAAACACCAGAACTACTCCCTAGGGTTTTCTTAGCTGTCAATTGATTAGAAGATTGTCAGGTCTTTTATTTCATAGTGCCTGTGGTGGACTTGAACTGACAGTCTTTAGGTTAGCAGTCTCGTGCTAATCATTTGCACCAGAACTCTACAAATTCATGTTCTGTAGCGTCTTTAGGACCTCTATCAAATTTATCTCACAAAGCTATTTTAGAGGTCTTGTTTTTCTACTTCCCTCTCTCCCATTTCCTTACTTGAGTAAAGATTAGAACGGGAAACTGATCTAAACAGGGAGAAACCGGTCTAGCAGCCTCTGTGCTCACCCTTGTCTTGCCGTCAAAACCAACTAAACTCCGGAGAAACCTTTTAGAGTGGAGAAAATGGAAAGCAGGCTCCATGGATGTGAAAAGGTCCCTGAATATTCTAAATAAATCAAGTTGAAGAACTTAGTCCATACAGTTTATAAAGGTTCTTTTTACCAAGCTTTGTTTCTTCAGATTTGGGTGGAGGGCAGAAAAAAGTACAATTCCTGGAACTTGAATAATGAACAAAAATTTCTGCTTTAGGTTAAAAAAAGAAAAAGTCTTTGAAAAACACTCTGTCAAAAAAACCTAAGTGTAAAGTGATACCTCGAAGAAAAAAAGGCCCTACCTGATCCTAAGTTTTACAGATGACGGCTTCCAAAGCATTCCTCAGAGCAGTCTGTGTATCAGTCTTTGAAGCTTGTCCATCAGAGCTACAGGCTTCCATGGCGCCATACATGTGGAACTCCGAGCCTGAGAAATGCTTTGCCACAGATATTCCTGATGGCGACACAAGTACTGTACCCACACTGCCCACCTGCCCTCACAAAAACTCTCTCTAAAGCCATGCATCTAGGTGACACCAAGGAAATGCAGTTTGGAAATGTTTAATAGCTGGCCTATTTTGCTTTGAATTATTCTTTCATTCTCCAAGCAGCTGTTCCAAGGTAGTGTGCAGTAGCTAAACAATTAGTCATAAAAAGCTAGAGTCTAGGCTGGCAATTTTCTTTTCGACACTCACAACATAGAAGGCAGCCATGGAGCCTGACTGCACTCAATACAGCAGTTGCTTGGTGTCTACGTTAAATACTATGCTAAAGAGAAGGATCCTTTCAGTAGTATCTTTTCTAGCATGTTACTGTATAATTAGACATGCCTAGGAATCTGTTTAGTGGTGAAGAAACAAAAGCTTCAAGAGTTCCCCTAATCCATACTTTCTATGTAAAATTCTGTTAATTAATATACCAAAGAGCTAAACTAATGATAAACAACTAATAGTAGTAGCTAACTTTTTTTTTTTTAAAACCATCATTGGATGTTCTTTGCTTTTGAAGTAAAGAAGTCTAGCTTCTTCCAAGTATTATTTGAATCCTGTTAGCTCATTGGCTTGACATTCAGATTGCCCACTTCAGATACTTCTGGGCATAAGTGAGGACTGAGTTCTCTGTAGCAGATGGGCAAGGAGTAAAAATAATGCATTTAAAAATCGTTAAGTCAGGGGATACACTTTCTTTTCCCCTAATGTCCCCAACTTCTGACTCAATATACTTAAAAGGAACTCACTAAACTCTTATTGAATGAATAAAATTTAAAAAACAGAGAAAAGGGGGTGGGAATTAAGACTTTATTTGGTGATTACCTAAAAATGTCTACCACCCACCTGTCAGTGTGTCCTATTGTGGTTCCTTGAGTATTACTGTGACGCTGGCACGATGCCACTGGTATTTAAGTACAGACAGAGTGACAAAGAGGCAAGATGGATAAAATATTACTACCTTATCTCACTTAGGGTACACAGGTTTCAGTGGAGGTTCAAGACTAAAGCTAGAAATAAAGGCCTGGTGATTAACTTCTGAAAAGTGTTGTAGTTAGGTGCTGCTGAGTGGATTCTAACTCATAGTGAGCCCATGTGCCTGAGGAGAAGTGTCCCATAGAGCTTCCACCAGGTCTTTATCCTGTGGAGCTGCTGGATGGATTTGAACTGCCACCTTTTGAGTCAGCAGTCTAGTGCTTAACTGTTGCACCACCAGGGCTCCTTATTAGTTAATGAAAACTCTCTAGATGACAACAGATTATGTCCGATTTAGTGCTGGAAGATGAACCCCCTTGGAAGGCTTTCAGCAGTGGATTCAGACCGGGCAACCTTCTGTTCTGTTGTATATGGAGTTGCCAGGAGTCAGTGACAACTAGCAACCATCATCTTGAATTTTGGTTTCTCAGATTTCTTCTTTCTTTTCCTCCCTTCTGGGCCGACCCACCTGTTTGCCATCTCACTGTGGATGAGCAATTTCAGCTGAGAGAGAGTGAAAAAGAGGCAAGATGGATAAAATATTACTACTTTATCTCATAGGGTCGTTAAAAAGTTAAAACAGACAAAACTTGGTAACCCTTAAACCACCATAAAGGAGTTACCTTGGTCTATGGCACCCAAGTTAAAAGCAAAACAAGATCCTCACAGGCAGTAAAAGGAATCTGCTAGATACTTTTGGCTACTAGGTTGGTTTTCTGCTGATGCATGCTGAGTTTATAAAGAATTTTAATAGAATCTCTCACACGCTGCTTGAGTTTGGCTAACTAGGAAAACTGGTTGCAAATGTTACAGATTTTTTTCTAATCCTCCTGCTACTCTCAAGAACGCAGTTTGAGATGATAGCAACAACTTCTGAAATCATACCCCATCATCCTAGTAAGTTATTGTTTAACACTTTTTGTTTCTAAATCTCACAATTTAGTCTGACCTAAAAACGGTTTTTAAAAACTCCCTGGACAGCTGGCTCCCATGTAGCCCTGGAGAGTGGAGGCACAGTCCCTGACAGGCTTGCACATCCCCTGCACACACCCCTCTTCCTAAAGTCATGTCTACTGGCGTAATGAAACACCTGTTTATAAGTGTTAGGAAGAAGAAAGGCCAGTTTTAGACAGGGCTCCAACTGTGTAGCTCTACCAGGATCCCCTTGACAACTTGTGAAGGCCTTCCCTGAACCTTCTGGGAGGCAGAGGCTAATGAATGCCAACACTTCATTGCTCCTGTAAGATTCCCTCCAGAGCTGCTGGCAAATGAACTGTTCTTCCATGAGCACACATTTGTTTCCTGTGTTAAAAACGAGGAAAGTCATTCCATTGATACAAAGGCCAATTTTAACAGTCTCATCAGGAAATACAAAAGTGGAAATTCTCAGCAACATCTTATTTATTGTACAACAGCCCAGTTGCAATGACCTGAGTTTTCTTCTTCTGTAAGATCTTAAGTCTACTGAAGTCTCATTAACCAGCAATCAAGTCATCTGAAAAAGGTGTGGAAATTCAGATTAAGTATGGCCTAACAAGTATTTGCAGAACAGACCAGCCCTGGTCCCACATGGAATGACGAGGCCATCAGACAGCCTTATGGTAACTAAGCCAAGACACAAGGTGAAAGGACCCAAAGAACCCTGATCGGGGGAGAAGAGTGGAGAACGCACCTGGTTAGGCTGAAAGTATCAATACTGCATTTTGACATGGTAGCTGCTTTCACATAAAGAGATACTTCATAAAGTACCAAAAATTCAGATTTTAAAGAACAACTTCCTAACACTTTCACCATTTCACTGATTTGGGATATGAACAAAATGAGTCCCTGACAGAGTTTTTAAAGAGGCAATAAAAACACAGCAAGGGAGAAATCAGGATCAGTTTTTTCTGTTCTGTCCTCGTCCTTTCTCTTTATCAATAGCTTTTAATAAAGTGAAAGGTCTGAGCAATGGCTTCTGTAACTCAGGGACTTAGAAGCAGCAGAGGGTGTGAAGAAGACTAACGGGAAAGGAAGGGATCAATGGAGCAGTGACTGGGCCCAGAGACGCAGGCTTTATTATCCCTGGGAGTTTCACACCAGCTAAATGAGGCAAATTTTGAGGTTAGAAGACAATTGCACCCCGACCCTCTAAATAACAAAAACACAAAACAGCCAACTAGAAATGAACCAAATTTTATCCTTTAAATGTGTTTAAAAAGTTGATACATGCCAACTTCTGGTGTCCATGAGTGGAAATGGAAGACTGGATTTTATTCTTGTCCAGGTACATCTTGAGAAAGGCTGCCAAGAACCCTGCCGTCTTGAAGTGGCTCAGGTGCACCAAGCTGACTCAGTCAAGATTATCAGCAGCTGTTGCTGCATGCTAAGCTTGACTCCAGCCTGTGGCTCCTCACAGATCCCTAATTCTGTCCTCATGTTGGCTCACTGGAAGGTACGGGTGCCTGCAGGCTCTGCCTGGTACCACATCCTTCTGCTTTTCCAAACAGATTCCAGGCCTGGGCCATTCTGCGAAGCTTTGCAAGATTGGGCTTAGTCTATGGAAGAAACAGAGCAAATTCAATTAGCATACAACAAGCCAAGTGGTGTAGAGGTTTTCCTAACTATGACTGTTTAAATCTAGTTAAATTTAATGTCTGGTTTCAGGAAAGAGTAGGTTTCCTCGGAAAAATGGCACTAAGTCTCGATTCCCATCTCCTTCAGCAATAGGGGCAAAACTGTTTAATTTTGATTTTGTCATGTGAAACAAAAAGGTGATAATGGAGTAAAGTCAGGCACCAGAAGACCTTAATTAGTGCCTGACAGCTCTCTCCAAGAGGAGCCTTGACAGCCGTCCGCAGGTGGTCAGCAGCAGAGAGGATTCTGGAGAGCAGCAACATGGACAGTCCTATTATGCTCTCGGGTGTGGTTTCATTTAAAATTGTAATAAGGGAAGAAATGTCCTTAATTTAAACCACTCTGTGCCTTTTTTGCATTATCCACATCATTGTTCCTGAGCCTGTGAGTAATCATGGCCAAACATAATGGAGAGATCTGAGTTTGGTTCCCTTTCTTGATGATCCCCAAACTGTACGACTCCAGAGACCCTGGAGCTGGCAAGCTATGGTGACAGGTCCCCAATCTAACAAGAACCATCAAGCAACTCGATGTTTAGGCTGTATTTTGCCAATCATGAGTCTGCTGGATTTCTAACAACTTTCTGTAGCCTGGGAAGAACTTCAGCATCTTGTCATACCTCGAGTCAGTAGGCAAGATGTTCAGGACCCATAAGCCTGTTGTGTGTGTTGAGCTAAACTTCATTTTCAATTTGTGCTGGAACATGAAATGGAAGAGCCTTTATATGAAATTTCTAATGTACATTTTTCAAAGCTCTTATATGTTTTGGAAAGGATTAAGGCGATGTCATTTGGATGACAGGAACTAAAAAGATGAGATAAACTTTATTCCTGCCTGCTCCTGTTATTCATTAAAATACCTGTTTTTTCTGCTCCAAATGGTCGGTATCAGCCAATGGCAGCATAGAAGGTCTCCCGTGAGCACACTGGAATGGCAGCTGGCAGCAGGACAGAGCTTCGATAAGGCGGTGGCTCTCCTCGAGGCTCAGACCATCATTAAACTTAATGGCCCCTGAACGAAAGAGAAGGCGTCATGTTGTTGGCAGTGGGTGACTGATACTGACCTGGGCCAGAGCCAACAGCTGGGAAAGTAACACTTCTCAGGGTCCTTTAATGTGCCTTCAGTACGGCTTGAAACTGGGCTTGTGGTCATGGATGAAACTAAGGCTTCAGGCTACACCTGTCTCTTGGCTTTCTTTCCCTATGGAGTATTTGTCCTCCCCATCGCATTCCTTAGCTTGCTAAGATTTCTTTCAGGGTTTTTCTCAGAGGCAAGAATACAGCTTTATTCCTTTCAGGTCTGTGAAAATGAGGTCATCTTTTGTTCACAGCTAGTCAGTCCATCACAAAGGTTTCTGAATATTTCCCTCAATGTACCATTTATTTTTCAAAAAAAAAAATTCTTAATTTCTACCACGAACACTTATACTGTCAAACTACACATGATCATTTATTCAGTCAGAAAATAGTTATCTGCCAGGCAATGAATGAGAGAGATAGCTCTACCCTCACACAGCTTACAATTGAGTATATGAGATAAACACAGAACAGATCATTACACAATAATTTAAAGATAAATATAAGTACTACAAAGCACAGGATCTGAAAGGCTACATAATAGGAAGACCAAACCCACTTTCGGAGGTCAGGAAGTCTTCTCTGACAGAATTATATTTAAGCTGAGGCCTTAAGAAAGATTTTGCTAATTGAAGAAGAAACAGAAAGGCAAGTGCAGAAGAAAAGGCCCATGCAGATGACAGCTGTGGCAACCAGAGGGACAAGACTGAAGTAGCAAGGCTGGGCTGTACACAGCTAGGTGGAGGATGATGGGAGATGAGAGGCAGGCAAGAGCACATCAGGAAGAACCTGGTAGGCCATGGTAAAGAACATCTTTATCCCAAGAGCAATGAGTCGTCATTGAAGAGTTTTACTCTGAAGGATGACATGATCAGAGGGACGTTTCTAGAAGGTTCTTAAGTGTTGAGGGAAGAATGATCTGGAAGGGAGTCAGTGGGTATGGAAAGAATCAACTGTGGCAAAAGCTGGTGATGTAATGGAGACAGGAGGAACTCGATAGATTAAAGACACATTTTGAAAGCACAGATTACAAAATTTTGTGATAGAATAAATGTGAGGAGTCAAAACTGGACAAGAGGTAAAGGAGTTTAGAATATGTGCAAATAACAGACCAAGGTTTGCAGGAGATGGATCATGTTCCTAAGCACAAAAAGACGGAATAAAGTGAGGACTGTTGTACAAGGGGTGGTGCCAGTGGACTGAAGACCACACTGTAGTCATATGAGAGAACAGGAGATTCCCTACAGTAAGTGTCATCATACCCCTGTCTATGTTTTACCTTTGTACCCTACTCTTAGGAGCTCTGGTAGCGTAGTGGTTATGAATCGGGCTGTGAACCTCAGTTCGAAACTGCCAGCTGTTCGGCGGGAGAAACAAGACTTTCAGCCTTGGAAACCCTGTGCAGGGTCACTATGAGTTGGAACCGACTCCACGGTACTTAACAACAAACCCTACTCTTGAATACGCCATTATTTCAGTGTTAAAACTAAAGGTTTGGATGCAACCTTCAAGGCTTCTTTTCTACAAATGTCTTCATTGCTCTTCATGTAACTAATTGGTTTCAGTGTTCAGATCTCTGCACATGCTGTTTCCTTTCCCTAAAGTTTATTTCCCTCTCCATCCTATGAATCCATGTCCCTTGGCTCATTCAAAACTTGATTTCAAAATGCAGCCAGTCACTCAGTTACGTAAGTCAGTCAGTCAGTTTGCATTGTAGTCAAATATACATGTTGGTATTTGGCTGTGTGTTGAAGAAAGGGCTGGTGAACTCCTCCCATACAGACTACAGCCAAGAAAACCCCATGCATGGAGCAGTTCTGCTATACAAAGGGCAGCACATGGCATCGCCGTGAGTTAGAACTGGCTTGACAGCAATGGGCTGGTTGCAGTTTGCTTTGCAAAAGTCATTTAAAAATATTTAGGCCTTTGTTGAATACAATGAGTTTCTTGATGGAAATTGTACACTCTGAGAGCAGTGAGTGAGCCTTCAGTTCCCTTCCTAGTCTGTCAGTGCTGAGCATCCACAGCATCCACAGAGGGCCCTGAGGGTCTTACCATGGCAGGCTTGGGATGCCAATACCTTCTGGACAGTCAGTGGCAAAGTCCCTTGGATGCCTCCTGTGGTCTGGAGTAGCTAATACATAAACACATTCTTTGTTAACAGGTCAAGGAAATGAGATAATGGAGCTTTTTGTGTGTGGTATACATCCCTGAGAGAAGGGAAAGGCTTACCTCCACTTGTTCTCGAATAAATTCCTAAAAAACAAAATGGAACACACACATTAAACTACTGCTGTGTTGTACTTGTCCATTTATAGTTTACAAAAGATCTCAATTTTATCTTTACAATATGCCTCCTGACAGTGCCTCTGGGGGTCTTGAACCACAAACCTTTCGGTTATCAGCCAAGAGTGTTAGCTGTGTGTACTACAGAAGAGTCCTGGTGGTGCAGTGGGGCAAGCACTGGGTCAGTGATTCCCACCTACCAGCTGCTCCACAGGAGAAAGATGAGGCTTTCTGTTCGGGTAAAGATTTACCCCCATGGAAATCCCATAGAGCAGTTCTCCTCTGTCCTGCAGGATAGGGATTTAGTTTTGCCTATTTAACATGTTAATTGGTATAAATTATATGCAACACCATCTTGTGGTTAAGTGCCATCGTGTCAGTTCTGACTCAACAACTCACATGGTTTCAGAAGCTGTAATAGCAACTCCTGGAGTACTGGTGTAATGCAGTAGGATAAGCACTAAACCACACGGTCAGTTTGAACTGCTAGACTGGTGGTTCAAACTTACGAGCCACTCCTCAGAAACCCTACACAGGGTCGCTATGAGTCAGAACCAACCCGACGGCACTTAACAACAAAACAGCAACTTACAGGGTTTCCTAGGAGCTACCAGTGGGTCTGAACTGCTGATTTTGCAGTTAGCAGTCCACTGCTTATCTTACAGCATCACATCAGTCAAAACCCTTAGAACTGTTCAAGAGAGTGAGCCCTAGTATAAGCTCTCGGACATGAATAAATGATCATTTTCAATCAAGATTGGTTCTGTGAGCATACACATGCACCACTGAACTGCAGTGGGGAAAGAAGCCAGAGGAACGCTCTACTGCATCATTTTTCTGTAAACCTAAAACTGCTCTAAAAATTCTTTTTTTTAAAAAATGCCCCTGAGTAAGAGGGACCCAACACAACAGCACATTTATATTTTGTATGGAACTTTGCATATGAATTTCCAAGGTTATACCAATTCTTTTTTTTTTTTTTTGAAGGTTTAATAAATCTAATTCCTTTATTTTTTTTATAGTAACCAAAAATTAAGTATTTTACATATTGATAGTATTCTTGTGGTTCGAACCCATCAGCCACTTGTCAGGGTAATACCAATTCTTGTTGAACATAAAATATGCTTAGTTACTGAGACTTTCTGCAGAAAGAGCTCACCACTAAGTAGGTCATGCAGCTCTGAGAATAGCCTTTGCTGATTAACTGATTCCACATATCGGGGCTACTTCCGACCAAGAGGCCGTGTGTTTGGAGTTGTGATCTTAGCCAGAATAAGTGTACTATTTGATCCAAACTGAGGACAAATATACAACAGTCACTAACACAACTGGGCACTTGGGATAACACTTGTTTAAATTCCATAAACATAAGCAAATGGCCACTTTAGTTCCCACATGCTTTTTCAGACATTCACTTTCAGGTCAAAACACTTCTTTTCTGAGGCACTTCTGTTGAGAAGTTTGTCCCCTTGCATGTCTCAGCCCCTGGGACATCCTTTTCAGTAGTTCTATCCCTGCAGATGTTAGTATTTACAAATGAACTTCAAAGACATTTAAAGCAGACACTATTTTATGCTACTAATTTACCTCAAGAAAAAAAACAACAACTGTTTTACAGAAATGGCACATTTAATCATTTCTTTAGAAGAAAAACTGGACTGATCTCTCCCTGTCTGAAGCAAAGAAGAGTGAAGAAAATCAAAGACATTTGTAAACAATTAGGCCACAGGAATAATGGACCATTGAACCTCACTCAGCCTCCACAGATGAACTAGATGGTGCCCAGATTAGCTACCACTCTGAAAGGAGTCACAATAGAAGATCCTGGATACAGCAGGAAAAAAATGAGGAGCAAAACTTCAATCACAAAAATAATAATTTAACAAAAAACCGGCTTCCTGGTTAGCTGGAGACTGGTCACCCTTCAAGCCCATAACTGAACTCTTCCCCATGGCGTAACTTTCAGCTAAACACCACCCAAGGTGAACAATAACACCCAGGAGGTGCACATTCCTTAGAAAAATCAATCACAGGAGATTAAGAGGGCAGCATTTGCCCAGGAATAAAGCTCAGAAGACAGGAAGAGGTTGGAAAGGATGAATAGAAACTATAAATATAGGATTTCTTTTTTTTTTTTTTTCATTTTGAGGATTGCAATCCATGTCTTAAAAACAAAATAAGTATGAATCATCGATAGAAAACTAATCTGCTTTGTAAACTTTCACCCAAATCACAAGTAAAAAAAAAGACCCACCCCAACCCCCAACAGGATTTCCTTACTCCTAGAAATGTATAAATTTCTCCTATGTAGAAATCAACTTCCTAAAAAAGGAGATTTTCTTTTTAAACTAGACTCCGAAAAATTCTTTCTCCTCCCTCATATATAATTAAGTCTGCCGTGCTTATGAATGAGCTCTTACCAAGATCTAAGTGTTAAGGAATACATGACATTATTTTAAGGACTATATGACATTATTTTTAAAACTACGTATTTCCCCAAATATACCTAAAAAGAACTATGTCTCAATATTTGACCATCGAATAAAGCTTAATTAGCGATCAAACCTAACTTTCTTGCTTTTCTCACCCCTTGCTTGTGTACCTGGGACTGTAAAACTTCAGTCTCAGTTCATTTCACAATTTGATGGTTCTATTAATGCAGCTTTAGGACTAAGGTGCGCCTGACCCAAGCCTTGGTATTTTCAATAACCTCATATGCATGTGAAAGCTGGACAGTGAATAAGGATGATCACAGAAGAATTGATGCATTTGAGTTACGGTGCTGGAGAGAATATTGAAAGTGCATGGGCTGCCAAAAGGACAAACAGATGTGTTGGAAGAAGTGAAGACAGAGTGTTCCTTGGAAGCCAGGATAGCCAAACTTCATCTCTCATACTTCGGACATATTGTCAGGAGGGACCAGTTGCTGGAGAAGTATATCATATTTGGTAATGTGGAGGGTCAGAAAAAAAGAGGAAGACCCCAGTGAGATGGACTGGCAAAGTGGCAGCATCAATGGGCTCAAGCACGGCAACAATTGTGAGGTTGGCCCAGGATTGGGCAGTGTTTCATTCTGTTGTGCACAGGGTTGCTATGAGTTGGCATCGACTTGATGGCACCTAACAACAACAATGGAGTCCTGGTGTGGCGCTGTGGGTTGATGCGCTAGACTGCAAAGCCGTTTGAACTACAAGGTCGGCAGTTCAAGCTCACCAGTCGCTCTTTGGAAACCCTGTATAGGGTCGCTATGGGTTGGATCCGACTCGACGGCACTTAACAACAACATTAATGCAAAACAACTTAAATAATGTTTGTTGTTGTTGTTGTTAAGTGCCATCGAGTCGGTTCCGACCCATAGCGACCCTATACAGGGTTTCTGAGGTTGTAAATCTTTACGGGAGTAGAAAGCCTCATCTTTCTCCCGTGGATTACAAGGCTCATTTATCAGGCTAGATGACAGAACTTTCTAGAAGGATGCATTAGTCATTTTTCAACTACTAGGATTCAAGTTTGGAGTCCTGGTGTTGCACTGTAGTATAAGCACTGGACCACAAGGTCAGTGGTTCAAACCCACCAGCAGCTCTTGAGAAACCCTATACAGAGTTGCTATGAATTGGAACTTACTCAAAGTTACTTAACAACAACAACAAAGGTCTGAGTAGCAACCTCCTCTTTAAGACACCCAAACTGCTCCAACTTCTTTCAGAATCAACAAAATCTCTTGAACAGCCTGACTTAACATAATCAAAATTTTCTGAAGCCATAAGCTTTGTTTCAATTTGAAGTAAACTTAAATTTTGAAGTCTTTGAAGTAACTTCAGGAAAAGTTTTTATTATAATTTTCTGGTTAAATATTTAGGGATTGAATTACAAAATAAAGATTCCAACAGATCTTATCTTTTGGATGTAAAACAATTTAGAGGAGGAGCCTGAGAAAAAACAAGTTCTGGTGGGAAAAAAAGAGCTCTGCTGAAAGTAAAGCAAAGGTCTGATAGAAGGCAACTTCAGGAAAGGTAAAACCAAGAGCTGGCACTGTTCACTGCCTGTTCCTCTCAGCTGTCTGCTTGCCTTTATCTACAAACATGGTAAAGTCTCGTTATTCTTAAAACAAAAATCCACCATCAACCTTGTGTTCTGCTCCCGACTCTTCCCTAACCTTTGTTGTGTGCCATGGAGTCGGTTCCGACCCATAGTGACCCTGTGCAGGGTTTCCGAGGCTGTAAATCTTTACGGGAGCAGAAAGCCTCATCTTTCTCCCGTGGAACAGCTGGTAGTTTCGAACTGCTGACCTTGTGGTTTGCTGTCCGATTGGCAACCACTACACTACCAGAGCTCCTTAACCTTAAGCTATTGTTTATCTCTCTTCTGTAAGTAGCCAATGTCCTTGGAAGAATAGTCTACTAGCCCCACCCCTCTCCTTTACTCACTCCCTGACCCACTGAGATCTGTCTGCTGCCTCATCCCTCCAAGAAGTGACTCCACAATGTAGCCAATGTCTGTATGACAGGCAAATCCAACAAACATTTTTTCAGGCTTTACTTTATGGCCATTGTTGACCACTGCGTTCCTTTGTGAAACTCTTCCCTTGGTTTGGCAACAGTACATTTCTAGTTTCCCCCCACCCCTCTCTCTGATCAACTGTTTTAAGTCATCATTACAGCTTCCTCTTTTATGCTCCCAGCTTGATTGGTGTCCATGCTTTGCTTTTTTCCCTTTTTATTCTTCATATTTTCCCTGGACAATATCAATCCCTCCCCAACACATCTCAGGCTTCTGATACAATCAAAATATATCTAATATTAATGCTTTAGTGTACAGTCCAGACATGTTTATGACATGCTAGATCTGTACATCTGCACTAGACATTCCCACCTGACTATACATTCAGCTGGACTACAGCCTAACTCCCCAGTCAGGCACATCCATCTTCCTCGATTTTGTTCTTGGTCAATGGCACATCATTCTTCCAG